CAAAATTCTGTGAGTATACCAAAAGCCACTGAACTCTCTGTAGATAAGCTAATTGTATATTATACAAATGGCTTGGTATAGAGAATCTAATAAAGCTATTAAAAGTAACACAGAGAGATGAGCTGGGACATGGCAAGGGACAGAGATGAAACACATCTAGGCAAAGGTTAATAATGGCTGGCACTGAGTGGATTCACTACTGCCAAAGGGTTAAATGGTCTCCTATAACCAAATGTATAGCACATCAGTGAAGTTCATGTAAAAAGAGACCAAAAACCGCACATTAAGTAAAAATGCTAACATAAAGAGGAACAAGGAAAGACTTTATAACAAAAGGAATATTGCTTAGGCTAAAAGTAAATGTTATTTAAAAAAAAAATAAAAGGAGGGGGGAAAAAACTAGTGAAAATAGGAGAAGGCATCAACCATAGATTTGTCCAAAATCCAACCTAGAAATAACATTCTAAGGACTGGCAGCTTATTGGTAAAACCTAGCATGGACAAGGCTTGATTTCCAGCTTGTCTTCCCAACCCTCACCACACATACAAAATAAGAGCTGAAAGTCCGCCTTTAAACTCAAAAGTAAAGAGTCTGATACAGGAGATCATGAGTTCCAGGTAAGTCTGAGCTAAACAGCAAGATCTCGTAGAAAAACAAAACAAACAAACAGCAACAGCTGTTCACACCAAGCCATTCTGTGACACTATTCAAAGGTCCCTGGGGCGTGGGCTCTGCCCATTCTGTATTGTATATCAAACTTCTGCTATTCCAGACTCTAGCTGTAAACCAGGCACAAGGTTTTAGAACTGAGGAGAGACTGTCGAATATGAAGTGTGGACACATACTGAGTACCTAGCTCTGAGGGTGCTCTAATTTCTAGGGCTACCATCAACAGTTCCTGACAAGCATGCAAAAATATACCCACCAATGCTGGACAACACCCAACCCCCATGACGGACAAACAGGAAACAGGCCTGTTATCAGCTTTGTTCCTAATTCACCATATCCCTTGCCCTAAGAGTAGACACTCACCTCCCTACAGGAAATTCACTGTCAACTGAAAAGAAATAAGCAACAACAATAATACATCCTCATCTGCATAGTAAGATTCTAATGTGGCTGGGCAGTAGTGGCACACGCTTTTAATCCCGGCACTCCTGGAGGCAGAGGCAGGTGATTCTCTGTGAGTTTGAGGCCAACCTGGTCTACAGACTGAGTTTCAGGACAGCCAGGACTGTTTCAGAGAAACCCAGTATGGAAAAACTAAAAGAAAAGAAAAAAGAAGATTCTAATGTACATTTACTTGCAAAATCTTAAATCTAGGAAACGCTCACCAAGCCATAAAAATGTCTGTCTCCTATGGCTGAGGAAGGGTCACATACTTTCACCTTTCTGTTAGGTGTTCCGCCACACACAGTGAGTGCAAACTGATACAATCTTTTTGAAAGTAATTTGGCCAATATATCAAAAGTTAAAATGTGCCAGTCTTGTGAGCTCTGATTTTCTTCAGGAAATCTGTCTCACTGACGGTGCCATGGGAGAACATTTGCTGAACCATTGTTTACTATAGCATAAGGAAAATGAGCTTCTGAGCATCAAAAAGGCGACTAATTCAATAGATAATAAGAGCTATAATTCTCCTACAAATGCATGGACAGAAGTCTGTCTTCTGACCAAAAACAGATTTATTTTCAAAACACAAATAAGCCACAGGACAGTTACTGCAGGATGGTCCCTCTGTTGCTTAAAGGACTTCAGCTCATACTGGACATGATGTCCCTTTCCCAGGCTCTTCACCCCCAAATCCAATTGCTACCAACTCTTGGAAGCACAGGCTGAAAAAGAAAGAGTTCAGTTGCAGAGCATGCCTCTCTAGGCACACTTTTAGCAAACTTAGTAAAAGGATGACTGTTTTCCTCGACATTTGTCCAGATAATAAAACCATAAGAAAGTCAAATACAGACTTCATGAGATTGAGCATCTACGGTTAATTAGTAACACAAGGAAAGCAAAGGAGACCAACCTAAAGTCCCTTCTCCATTCTTCATCACACAGTTCTTTCATACTACAAGGCTTTGGAACATCCCGTGCATCTATTCACAAAACACGAACTTCAAAAGATGAAGCCAGGCTTGCCGGTGCTGGTCTATAATTGAAGCTATTGAAGATAAGGAAGTAAAATCCAAAGTTCAAGGCCTGCCTGGGTTACCTAGTGGACTTGAGGAGAGTTTGGGCAATTTAAAGAGACTTTGCCTCAAAATAAAATATAAAATTAGGGCCGAGAATCTAGCTCAGTGGCAAAGTACTTTACTAGCACATAGGAGGCCCCAGATTTAGTTCCTAATTAATGGGGGGCAGTGCATACACCCATGTTTTACACCCATTAAAAAATGTATTACTGACCTTAACATAATAAAATCCCATACATGTACAAGACTTTCTATATTTCAGAATGTTTATTTTATGTATTTCTCATGTACAAAAGCATGGGAAAGATATAAATCAAAATGTTAGTAGTGGTTATTTTAGTACCAATGTTTAGGTTGATTTCATTACATTTCTCCTCTTTCTATTTTTCCATTCAGTGACCACATATTACTTTTATAATTAAAAAAAAAGAAAAAAGAAAAAAAAAACCATGGTGTCAGGATCTGGAGAGATGGTTCAGTGGTTAAGAGCGCTGGCTGCTCTTCCAGAGGGCCCAGATTCAATTCTAAGCACCCACACGGCACCCACAACTGTCTGTAACTCCAGTTCCAGGGGATCCCACACTCTTACATAGGCAGGAATGCAGGCAAAAACCCCAATGCACATAAACTTTTTAAAATTAAACTAAAAAAAAAAAAAATGCTGTCTGGGCATGGTGGTACATGTAATCCCATCATTCAGGAGAATTGTTGCAAGTTCAAAGCCAGTGAGGTCAACACAGAGAATTCCAGGGCGGTCAGTAATTCACAGAGAGCCTATCTCAAAGAAAAGGAAGGGGTACAGAACGAAAATCCACAAACAACAACAACAACCCCCCCCCCCCAAAAAAAATACCCAAAACAGAAAAGAACCAGTCAGTAAAACTGAACTGGATTGACTGTGTCATGGGAAGGGCCTCTGGCCATAGTCGGTGCAAAGCCCAGGGTTAGATGCCCAGCATGACAAGAAGACAAAAAACAAACAAATGTGGAGATAAAAGGGGGTAGATAGTAAGAGCGACTGTGCTGGAGAGAAGTTGACTTAAATGTCACATTGTAAGTTCAATGCCCCTCCCCTCGTCTGCAAAGGTTCTTTTAGGTTGGAACCCTTTCCGTGAAACAATCTTTTGGAGGTGGAGAAAACCAAATCCCGTGGGCTCTTTCACAAATCAAAAAGCACACAGAAAGACCAGACCAGAGGGGTGTGAGCAAAGATGTCCAGTAACTCTCAGGAAACGCTTTCAAGGTGCGCCGTGTCCCTAACCAAAATTAATTTTAATTGGGAGGAATTAATTGGGAGAAACTGTTACTAGACTAACTCTTTAGGAAAGTTACCGGCTACAGAGCATTAATGCAGGGAGAAAAACAAAGGTAGGAGGGATATCAAGCAGCTCGGGTTAACAAGTAACCTGATTTTTTTTTTAATTGTTAAATCAAGTTCACAGTATATGCCCTTCCCAACCCCCTCACTCTGCAAACAAAGGGAGCCAAATAGTCAGGGTATGCTTCCTATCATGTGTGAATCATATAAGGGCTTATAATCAGTTCCAACCACCTCTGTTCCTGAATTTTAAATTTCTCCCTTCCTTTCTTCCTTCCTTCCTTCCCTCCTTCCTTCCTTCCTCCTCCTTCTTTGTTTTTTTGTTTTGTTTTGGTTTGCTTGTTTGTTTTTGGTTTTCGAGACAGGGTTTCTCTGTGAACCGTTCCTGGCTGAGCTGGAACTCACTCTGTAGACCAGGTTGACCTCACAGAAATCCTCTGCCTCCCGAAGTGTTGGGACTAAAAAGGCATGTGCCACCAAAGCCCAGCGAATGACAGTCAAACGAAGAGGGGTTAGACACTCTTCTACGACGTCTTTACGGAAGGGTTAAAAGGGAGAAATGGCCTTTACAAGACACCTGCAAGTTTAGCTGGAGAAATGTAAACGCCAGGTCTGGTTTTGCATCACAGTTGCTCTAGCGCCGGCTGTAAACACCCCCACCCCACTATGGCTCAGCCCACCCCACCCGGAAGACTGCAGTGGCCTCCTTGGCTCCTAGAGGCGCCAGGTTGAGCTCAACCGGAGCAGCACCGCCCGCCCAACCCGGCAGCCGGGCGCGATTGGCACCGAAGCACCGCCCAGGACCGCTCTCTCCCTGGACTGTTCCTGAGGCTTGGCAGGCTCAGCTCTAGACCTGGGTGGCTGCCAGTGTGTGCACCGGGTGGCGGGAAGGCCAGAACATCACCTGATCGAATATGGGGGTCCTAAAATTTCCACGTGACGCCCAAACCGGCAGAGGTCCTCACCCAGCGCATCCACCGTGATGCCAGGAACTGTGGCCCGGAGTGGGTCTTGAACGCTGTGATTCGACCCTCAAGGAAAGGGTTCAATGGGTGGGTGCGAGTGCAAACGCGAGGTGGGTACTTCCCCGGGTTCGGCTCCCACTCACTCCAACCGGACTTGAGCCATCAACAGGCTACAATCCGGGGGTCCAGTAGGACCAGGTCGGAAGTAGTTCACAGGGTCCGCGAAAAGTTCTTAATGACTCAGTGTTTGCAAAGAAACGACCCGAGGAAAGAGAGGCTGAATCCTCAGGGCGCCCCCAAAGACGCGGACGCTCCTTCCTTCCCTCCTCGAACCACACAGACAGGTAAGAAATTGGAAGTGCCCAGACCATGATAGGCTCTAACACGTCCTTGGGGGCACTTCCAGGGTGTCCCAGCTGAATAGTCAAGGGCCCCCATCAAAGCCACTGAGGGGGTCCAGGTGCGCGGAGAAGAGCGCGCCTACCCCGCTTCCACCACGAACCGAGAGCGCTGCCCGAGCTCCTCACCTTGGAACGTCCGGTTGCAGGAGGCCGAGGCCGCCAGAAGGAGGACGCCTCCTAGGAGCCAAATTAGGCTCCGACTTCGCATCCTCGCAGCAGCCCGGACGTCGGGCGGACCGGGAATCCGCCACCACTGGTTCGAAACCGAAGAGCCCCTCTCGCAGGGCCGGGCCCGCTTTCCCTAAGCCGAGCAGCACAGAGCTTTCCCAGGGCTGGATTCGTTTCAGTGAAACCGGAGCCCCTGGACGCACCTGCGGGAGGCCACGCCCACAGGACCACGCCCCCTTCGAGCGTTTTACGCAGGCCCCACCCCGGGCCACCTGGCTCAGCACCGCCTGTCCGTAGCTCTGAAGGCTGGCCCGCGTCCACTTGGCTGCCAGAGTCGCCTGCGGGTGGGGCTGGACTGATGAGGTGGCTACATTGGAATGCAAATGACAGGAAGGTTGGGACCCAGGGTTCTTAGAGCCTGGGCGATGTCCAAAACTACCTTTAACCTTTAATTACTTCAGAGGACCAGTGAGGTCATCCTCTCTCACCTCTTGTGAACGTTAGAAAGCCTAAGTAATTGGTGGGAAGGCTTTGTGCTGTAATGGGCAGTGCAGGATCCGAAATGCAAGGGGTTTTGGTTTTGGGTTTTTGTTGGTTCGGCTTTTTGAGAAAGATTTCTCCCTCTCCCTCACCTGCCTGACCTCGAACTTAGGGCTATTCCCCTGCCTCAACCTCCTAATTGACAGCCTGTGCCACCAGTACAACTGACAGTGAGTTTTTGGTTGAGCAGAGGCAAAGCAGACTGCTGTGGACATCACCCAAAGGGTAGGAAGCCTGTTGACCAGTGTCCTTGAACAAACCTGGATTCATGAGCTAGAGCATGCATGGAATGTGGGTTGGAATAGTACTTGAGTACTAGATGCCAATGGTTCAGTAATGTTAGCTTATCTAATGCCCATAGTATCCAATATGCTCACTCCATCCATCTTCCCATTTTACAAAACAGGAAATGGATCTTAGAAAGTTTGTTGCCTCAAGTTGCACAGTTCATAAGCACAGTTTGTAAATGTTCTTCACATTCAACTCAAGTATGGTTTGATTTTGTTTGTGATCTAACAACAAAGCTTGCCTGAAGACCAGAGTGCAGAACTAAGCCACTAGTTAGCCAAAGGGGCCAGGCAGCAGTGGCATGCACACCTTTAAACCCTGCACTCTGAAGGCAGAGCCTGATGGATCTCCGTGGGTTCAAGGCCATCCTGGGTTAAACAAGATTGAGTTGGTCTAAAAGAGAAACAGAGCTCACACCTTTGATCCTGGCACTTGGGAATCACACTCCTCTAATCCCAGCCGTAGGGAGTTGGAGACAGGAGTGATATGCCTGGGCAGAGAGAGGGATGTAAGGTGGGAGGAAACAGGAGTTCAGTGCATTCAGCCTGAGGTTTGGGGATGTAGCTCAGTAGTAGAACATGTGCTGAGCATGTCCATGGACCAAGGTTGATCCCCATACAGGGACACACACAGGGATAGGAGAGGTATCGGAGACATGCCTTCATCGTGTCAGTGATGCATTGCTTTAAATTTACTCTATAAATAGTAAACAAAAGCTAGGTGTAATGACACGGACCTGTACTCTCAGCGCTCCAGAGATGGAGGCAGGAGCATAAAAAGTTGGAGGCCAGCTGGGTTTAGTGAGACCCTACCTCAAAAGTAAATGAGAAATAAAAGTTAGAACAAATCAAAACTTACTGTTGTTCATTTTAACTGCAGTTTAAATAACAGAGAAGATACTGCAAGGATTCAGAAGCAACAGAGGATCCCATAGAGCACAGAGTAGGGGAGGGGGATTTCAGTTCAACATCGAAAGAGCCAGCTGCGTTCCTGGCCAGGTCTCTGAGATTACCACAGGAGTAGCAAAAGGCAAAGTTAGCCATTTGTCACAGGTTTGAGGACATCCACCTGGCATGTTGCAGAGAGGCTCCATGCCAGAATGAAGGATCAGATTGACTCCACATATCCTCTCAGGAGTCTTGAGTGAGGCCAATCACAGTTATTCGTGTCTGCACAGCCATAAACCACAGGATTACCACGGTAGTCCTGCAAGTGTGTGGAATGGAGTCTATCTGATGAAAGGTCTGGGCCATACTTCAACATACCCAATAGATGGTTAGTCTTCTGCTTGTTCCTTCTTCACCTGCAGAGAGGCTCACACAGCATAGAAATAAAAGGAAGAAAAGCAAATGACCCAGAAGAGGTCATGAAAATAGAATGCTTCCTCTCTGGACAACAGAAACAGACAGATAAAACATCCATCCTAACACACACACACACACACACACACACACACACACACACACACACACACCTGGAATGACCAGAGAAAGCAGCCCAAGGGATGAGACAATTCTCTTTAATGGAACATCTCTGATGGGTCTTTAATGGCTGAATCTCATGAAAGGTCTTCTGGGAATGTGAATGGAATTTAGCTTCATTTGTATGTAGCCTTGGGTAGAGTCTAGCTCCTCCCCCGTTTGTGCCTATGTGACCTTTGATAAATCATTCACGCTGCGTTTTCATTCCTCCTTATGAAATGGGATTAACATCTTGTCTCACTTAAAGACACACCTAAGGATAAAACAGTGGTTCTGGCATAATGTAAAACAAAAGGCCTTCCTTCCTCTTTCCTTTCTCTCAAGTACCTGTCACACCCCCTATACCACATACCCACCTGGGTATGGCTCCCAGGCCCAGCCTTCTGAAAATCGATTCTAAAACCAGCAGAGTCTATTCTAACCTAAACATCCCTCACATCAATCAATGGGGGAAAGTGGCCAGGTGTGATGGCACAAGCCTTTAAACCTAGCATTTGGGAGGCAGAAGCAGGCAGCTCTCTGAGTTCAAGGCCAGTGTGGTCCACAGAGTAAGTTTTCAGGACAAATAGAGTTACACAGAGAAACCCTTTCAGAAACAAAATAAAACAAACAGACAAAAAGGAGGAAGCAAACCCACAAGTCAGTATTTTAAGACCTTCTTTTAACGTGTGTGTGTGTGTGTGTGTGTGTGTGTGTGTGTGTGTGTACACATTTATATGTATGGCCCTGCATGGTTTTGAAGTAGCCACCTGTGACTCCAGGAACCACTTTGCAGTCCCCTTGGTGTCCTTTCTACGGTAGGGTCCATGTCCCTTCTCTGGAGGGTCAGTTCTGAGTCTGGGATGGAACGTGGGAACTTACATCTTTGCTCAAGGAAGTGCGCACCCTGGGGTGTCTGTTAGCTGCCCTGACATATGTTGTTGCCTCAGCACAGTCATTTGCAGCACCCCTCCCCTGATGGATCCCACCCCAGTTGGAACAATACTGAGCATACTTAACAGAGTTCTGTTCTGAAAGGGACCAGGCCACTCCAGAAAAGAGATACCCAGTTCATCTCTGATGTCCCTTCAGTCTTTCCCGACATCCAACTCTAATTGTCATGACTGCATCTGCTGTCTGGGTATGATAATGGCCCCTTTCTTGCACTGTGGTTGTGAGGATTTAGGGTGTTGAGTGTCAGTGACGTTTTGTGAGACGGTTCCTGACACAGAGGTAGCTGTTTGGTGATTGTCTTCAGTGAGAAATCTGCTCTCTCGAGAGAACCGCTAGTAGACCTCTAGCCACTTTCAAGATTCACTGATGTTGTATAGGAACCGAGTTTTAATCACTAAAATCTCTAAGAAGTGGTTTTAGCGAACAATGCTATTAGTTAATCATCTCAAGAATATGGTTTATTGGTCTGGGAATGTAGTTCAGGAGTAAAGAACTCGCCTAGCTCACTCAAGGCCCTGGATTTCTTCCCCAGCCACACCATAATAATAAATAAATGTGACTTCTTACAGCTGCCAAAATGTGCTACCTACACAGAAGTCAGTTTGCAGGGTTTTTTTTTTTTTTTTTTTTTTTTTTAAGAACTGATGATTTAGCCAGGCAATGGTGGCGCGGTAGCAGAGACAGGCAGATCTCTGTGAGTTCGAGATCAGCCTGGTCTAGTTCCAGGACAGGCTCCAAAACTACAGAGAAACCCTGTCTGGGGGGAGGTGGGGGTGGAGAAGTGATGAGTCATTTGCCAGGAAGGGCTTGAGGTATTCTATGAGTCTCTGGAAGACTAAGGACATAGCTAACTCCTGACTGCCTAGCTGCTGGAGACAAGGAACTTCCTGGCTTTTTCCCACTCCCTAACCCTTCATGAGGACATTTAGACCATGAGAGAAAAGGCATGAAATGAGACAGAACCCTGCATTTCTTTGTCAAACACATCTGACTCTTCCTGGGGAGATGAAGTTCCTGAGCTTGTGAGACCTAGTCAGGTCTAGCTGGAGGAAAAGCTGTCCTCTTCATTCATTCCTCTATCAAGCATACACTTGGGACAAGGCCAGCAATGACTTCTACCCAATAAACCCACAGTCACTTCTCAGGCTCCTAATACCCAACCTAACTGCAGAAACCGTACAAGCGACCCCCCCAGGCTCAGTCTGCCCTTGATTCTCCTCACTAGCACTTCAGAGTCGTTTCTTGACTGGTGCCTAATCACACAGCTGACCTCTCTACAGTGGAGTGACCCTGGGTTCATCCTTGAATTACTTCCCCAACTGATGCATCCAGTCCGTGGTCTTAAGTACTGTCTATATATTAACTCCAAATTTCTCTTCCGACCCTAGGTCTCTCCACTACAGATGTAAACCATTCATCTAGCATCCTTTGGCTATAGCTACAGGACTTCTCTCGTGTCCCGCAGCACCTCACCTTTCCATGTACAATCTTCCCATCACTTCAAATTATACCTTCATCCCTCTGGTTCTTCAGACAGAAAAACCTTGCTTTGTCCCCGATCATTTTATGTTCCATATCTGATCTATCAGCAATTCTACTTGAAATCATATTCAAAATACCACCCTGGCCCAAGTAGTGGCTGCCTCCCGCATTTATTATGACAGCCCAGTGGCTGTCTTCCTTCCTTTCAGCTCTAACTGTCCACATCCACTGGTCTTGCCCCAGCATAGCAGTTAGAGTGAATCCGTTGAAATGTCTCCCAAAACAGTTCACTTCCTTCCTTGCAGAATTAAAGTGTTCCCCACTTCCCTCTTTGTACAACACAAAACTTCACAGGAAAACTCATGCTGCCTTCCCCCCCCCGCTTGCGCGTG